CCAACTTCCTCAGCACCAAGGAGGTCGACAGCAGCAGCAGTAGCAACTAAGGGGAAGAGAGGGGAGGGAGTACATCCTTCAAAGAAGGGGGAGCGGGGAGTGCCGCGAGAGGCAGCGACAGCGACAATGCTCTTCTCGGCCTCGAGAAGGGATTATCGAGCGAGTCAAGTGTGATCTAAGTGGGGTCAAGGGCTAGGAACTGATCCCTGGCAGTGTGAAGGGAGTCAGGGAGGCGAGTGACGAGGAAGTACAGTGTCATATACAGCGGGGGGGGGGGGGGGGGGGGGGGGGCGGGGGGGGTTCATAGCGAGGAAGGCCGGCTTGAGAGCGGCGCGGTAGCGAGCCTCACTAGAGCAGAGGTGGGTAAAGAAGTCAGAGACAGTGTGGAAATCGGCTAGCTCGGGATGCAGGTACGGCAGCATGAGACGGCCTAGGGCAGCAGTAGCTGGGGAGGAGTAGCGAGCGACTACAGCGTCATACAGGGCCTTGGCTGTTTTCTACTGGCTAAAGTGCGCGCGCTCAGCTACGGGCAGATGGTTGCGGACAGTAAGGCGGGCAGTGGCGTCACGCATGAGCCACTTCGAATGATCCTCTACCGCTGTGGCAGCTGGGGCTGGGAGGGTTCCTTTGGTATGCACGAACAGTGAAATTCCGTCCCTAGCCTCGCTCTTCAGGTACAGCTGGAGATCATCGAGCCAAACATCAAAGCTAATTGCGCGACCCTCAGCGTCAAAAGTAAGAACTGAGAAGTTAGCCATAGCTGCAGTAGCAGCAGCAGGAGCAGCAGGAGCAGCAGGAGTAGGAGCTGCAGCAGCAGTGGCAGTAGCAGCAGCAGACTCGGTAGTAGGAGCAGTAGGGTAGTGTTGCTTAGGCAGGGCGGCGCGGCTCGGCAGGGCGGCGCGGCTCGGGCTGGGCAGGGCGCAGCAGCAGTGCAGCAGCAGTAGCAGTAGCAGCAGCGGAGCAGCGTGTGCAGCAGCAGTAGCAAAAGCAGTTGCAGCAGCAAGTAGCAGCAGCAGCAGCAAGTAAGAGCAGCAGCAGCAAGGAGCAGCAGCAGCAAGGTGCAGCAGCTGCAGCAAGTAGCAGCAGCAGCAGCACTCAGGAGAAGGCGCACAGCAGCAGCAGAAGCAGCGCGCGGGTTGGGTGCGTGCAGGCAGCGCGGGTAGCGCTCAGGCTGGGCGCGGGCGGGTAGCGCGCTGGTGCGCGCGGGCACCACGCAAGCAGCGCGCGGGCGTAGCGCGAGGAGCACGCTGGTAGGAGGAGGGCCGGGCGCAGGGGCTAGCGAGCAGCACGAGCGGCGCGCTGGGCAGCTGGGGCGCGGGCAGGGTGGTTCGCGACAATGCAACAAAAAACGCGCGGGCAGCTGGGGGGGGGTCGCGACAGTGAAAAAACCCGCGCCAGCGCGCTGGCAGTAAGGCAGAGCTAGGCGCTTCGAGTAGGGCAGGGCAGGGAGGCAGCGCTACGGCGCTTCGGTAGTGCGGAATGGTGGGCCCTAGTAGGATCGACTTCCTACTCTGAAACCATGTGAGAAACCTACTCGAGGAAATGGTTGGATTAGGAATGAGGAGGGATACATATGGGAAACCCTAAGTTGTATCCCCTCTAAGGCAAGCCCCACTACAGCCTACAAAGTAGGAACATATAATGTTTTACATAGGGCATGAATTCGGATGGAGGCATACACACATGCGATTCAAGGGAATGAACTCGCCGCTAGGGAGATTCCCCTTCAGAGGCCTGACGCGTTTAAAAAACACCCAGGGCTTCAACTTCTCTCCTGTCGTGGTGCAGGCGAGCATGACGATAACCCACTCCTTTTGGTAGCCGGAGGTTTGGATGGGAACGAAGTCAGTGCCGATTTCATCGATGGTATGGTGGGCCGGCATTTCGAGAAACAGGGGGGTTTGATCGGCGTTTATGATCCACTGGTTCTCGATCCCCCTGGCCCAGCGAGTAAAGAGCACGAATTTCCAAAACCTCTTCACCTGCTCTTCACACTCTGCGAGGGGGGGATTTACAAAGACACGAGATTTCATACAACCGTGTTAGTCACATTGAAAGCTTGTGTCCGACACATGCAAATGATCCAGGAGAAACAACGAATGATTTCAAACGCCCAATGCACTTACGGTCGGAAAGCTTTTGTCCGCATGCAGATTCCACATGCGGCGGAAGCGCTTCGTCCAACAGTACGTGCCCTTACAGTCGACGTCAGGGTGCTTCTCCTTCATGATGTCGTGCGACCACATCTGGAGGCGCCCGACGTTTACCGCTAGTCCCTTGGTGCGTGCGATGATGATCCGGGAGTAAAGCTCCCGCTCCATGTCGGGATACCATGACGCACGCCCGTGCCCGTGCAGCCTCTTGCGACATGAAGCGGCAGCGTTGAGGTCGTCAAGCTGGCGCTTCCACTCCGTGATGCATGTGCGATGTATTCCCGACTCCCGCGCCACCTCGCTCACGTTGTCACATGCCGCCAGCCGCGCGACCCACTTCACCTTCTCCGCCGCGGTGTAAGTGTTTTGCTTGCGCGTAGTCGGCTTATCCCTGGGAGAGGGGGGGCGGGCATCTCGGTTCGTGGAAGAGGGATGCGGTCGTTTTTTGTTGGGAGGGGGATAGTTGGGAATCGGTAGATGATCGGGAAGACCATCTCGGGACCAGTACTCCACGTCCTCCTCTTCACCAACCGCAGACTGGTCCCTCTAGCAGTCGTCCGGCCGTCCCCAGTAGGGACAGTCTTCGTCGCCCGCCTCGTCTCCATCATCCCCGCCCACACCAGCACCCGAGGCATGACCGGCGTCCCCAGCCTCCGCGCCCGTTGCCTCCGCGTCATCGTCGTCTCCAACACAATTCGCAAACTCTGCGGCCGCCGCGTGACACTTCTCAGCCTCCGTAGGCTCCTCTGTGGCAGAGGTGGGGAGGATCATCGTCAGCACCGGAGCACCATTCATAAACACAGCAGGGGCAGGGGGCGCAGTAGGAGCCGGCGGAGCAGGTGGGGTAGGTGGTGCAGGCGGAGTAGGCGGTAATGGAGGGCTTGGGGTACGGCGGCATTAGCTCGAAGCCACTCCGGAAGCCCACCACCGCCTGAAGCAGAGCGTGTACCAGGGGGACGGTCTAGTGGTCGCCCAAACAGGAAGGCGGTGCCTAGGATGCCCGCCATGGAAGTAGAAGAGGAGAAACAACAGTTTGCCGAGCAAAAGTGGATGAAAAAATGAGCAGAATGAAACCCACGAGAGAACCCTGTCGTGATGGCGGCTCGGGTTCCTCTGCAGGGAACTGTGAATTCCCTTGTAGAGGAACCATTGGTGGCAAGGAATCTTGCTGTTGGCAGATTCCTCACCAATCGAGGGTCCCGCTGATTGCAGCTGTCCCTCTAGCACGCCGCATCCACGTATGATTGGACCGCAAGGTAGCTTTGGGTGCATGGATGCACCCAAAATGCTGCGCTGGCAGTTTCTTCGTTTTTTTTTTTTTTTTTTTTTTTTTTCAATACTACGACACCACGAAACCAGTACGGTTGGCAAATTTTGTACTGCATGCTACAATTTGATGTGTAAAAAATGCAATTTTGTTATGGTCATTTAATTAGCGCATGCGCTTATAAAAATTACCACATTACAAGCGCACTCTGGACTTTCACCTGATTTATTAGGGGCGCATCTGTGCTTATATCCGGGTGAACACGGTACCTCAAACAATGCTTACTTTGAGGAGCGCGTGAGCAGGCCCCACGTTATTAGGGCAAAACATACTGATTACCCTGAATTCAGGATGCAGTTTTGAATTTACCCTGTCATTTCAGAATAGTGTCAATTCTAACCCTGAGGTCTCAGATGTTGTTATATGAAATGCCTTGACCATTCAGGATGGCCGTAGTGTTCTTCCCTGTAGCGTCAGGATGAATGTCGAGGCTTGCCCTGACGCGTTTTTTTAGGGGGGGGGAGGGAGGGGGGTTCCCGTTCCCGGGGATTTTTTTCCCCGGGGATTTTTGTCCCCGTTGATTTTTTTTCCCCGTGTATTTTTCCCGCCTTTGCACGATTCCTTTGTAAGTTCAGTTCCGATCCCCCGCAACGCACCAGCCAAACCCATCAGACTAGGAACAGGTTGTGCAAGGCAACTCGTCATGTGCCATGCATGCACTAGCTGAGTGTCTCTCTCGCTGATGTTGAGCACTCCTCCAACCAACACCCTTCCAGTGTTGAAGTTAGAGTAGCAGCGGCATTAGTGAAGCTCGGCTGGCTCACTCGCACTAGTCATGGCCAACGAGGACAATGTCGCGGCGCCAGTATCACGGGATCTAACCGGATTAGACTTCTTGCGTCCTGTTCGAGCTGTGTCCACCATACCAACAGGCTCACCTGCAGCTGGTTCATCTCGAACTCCTGCAGTCAGACCCGCCCGTGCTAGTACGAACAGCACCAACGTTGTACCACCTGGTGCAACATGCATCGGCCCTGTCGCTACTGCTAAGTTAAGAGCGACCAAGCACAAACAGTCAGGCTTGTCGTTCTCTCGCGATAGTCCTTTGGAACCCACCGTACGTATCTGCTTAGAGCCAGACTTACCAAGACCATCGGTCGTTCCTGCAGCATCTTTGTCTACTGAGGAACTGCGCGATGAGGTAGAGGAAAAATACAAGGAGGCGCTTATGAAGTTTAAACGGGAATGGTCAACTGATTTCCCGTGGCTCGTGCTTTGTCAAACCTCCTTCGGTTTCCCATCGGTGAGGTGCAGTTTGTGTAGCGTGCACGCAGGACACGACACAAACTACGGCACTGCTAGTGAAGGTGTCGTTCGATGTCCAAACCCAGGCGTTCCGCACGCATCAAAGTTCCAGGAAGCACAAACGGTCCGTCAAGAGACAGGCCCTGGCGGAGCAGGCAGCTGAGAAGCAACAGCGCATCATCGAGTGCCCAAAGGCTGGAGACATCCAGCGTGTAAGAGCTATCGCACTGCTGGAGACCCTGCTTTTTATCTGCAAATGTGACGCACTGATTGAGATGTGGGTTCAATTAGTTCGGCACCTTGCAGAGCGACAGACACCAGGCTTCCCCAAGAATGGTTACGGTGCTTATTACACCAGGTGAGCAGTTGATCGACAATAGATGCTATACTCGAAAACCTTCACAACTTTCACACTGTTGCTCACAACTTTCACACTATTGCTAAGCCACAGCACCTTCTTTCGTTGGATGCAGATACAGGTTTGCCGAGCTCATCAGGATGTCTGGTTGCAGTATAGTCCATTTATCGGACTAACCTGTGACGAGAGTACGGATCGTGTGCGTGGCAAGCACCAGATTGTGTTTGCCACGTTTCTCTGTGTATCTCGTGTAGTCACGGAGTTCATCGGGCTACTGACGGTGGAGAAATGTGATGGCGCTTCGTTGCTTTCCCCGTTGCTGACACTCCTTGAATCACTTGGTATCGACATGAGCAGGGTGGCCGGGATCAGCCCGGTTGGCGCAGGTGCGATGATGGGTAGCACAAACGGGCTGGTGGCTCGGCTGCGTGTACGGGTCCCGCACCTCTTCTCCAGCCATTGCATTGAACATCGGTGAGTAATACTCATTGAGAAGGGCCATAGCGGGCTGAAATCTGTGAGGATCTGAGAAGGAAGGCAAGTTTCATCTCACTGAGTATGGTCCTGCCTGTGTGTGTTGCATCTGAATGCCCATCACGTTGCGCAGAAACATCAAGGCAGGCAGGCGCTCACATGATCACCAGCTCATGCCATTCCCCACCCTTTTTGTTTCCCCCCTCCTTCCCCCTCCTCCTTCCCTCCCTCCCCCCCCCCCCCCCCCCCGCTCCAGACGTGACGGTGCTATGCTCCATAGTCTCCTCGTGGACGGACATCAACAGCCCGCAGAAACAGTCGAGGCAACTTCTCCCTCCTCAAACACACCTCCCCTTCTCTCCCCATTACCCTCCCTTCTCTCGTGCCCACATCATGTCTTGATGTGGCGCAGAGAGGCGCTAGCAGCTAAGGACACCGCCACTGTAGTCCCTGAGCTGGGTCTAATCGACACCATGGTGAAGGAACTCGCTGAATACCTGGGAAGGTCACATCCCTCTCACGATGAGTTCAAAGAGCTACAGGAGGTGTTCTACCGGACAAACCTTGAACTGCAGGAAATTCACGCAGTTCGTTGGCTGAGCTATGGCGATGCCATCATGCGCTTGGTGCATGTGCTCCCCGTCGTCATCGTGCTCCTGTGGGAGTGGGACGACGACTTTTACCACATTGTGACTTCAGTGAAGTTCAATGTGTATCTTTATTACCTTGCCGACATGCTCATCATCCTCAACAACCTCAACCTCCAGTTTCAGAAGCGAGAGGTGAGTTGCCTTTGTAAGCCCGAGACCCTTAGCATTGTTGTACGTTCCTTGTTGAAACTGTACCTTGTCATGTGGCAGGTCGACATGACATCAGTGCAGTCGACCGTGCACCGCACCTTGATCACCATCCGTACACGCTACATCGAGTTCGGCGATGACTTCGGTGGCGGCCCACAGCAACATCTCAGGGCCTTTCTCGCAAGGCTCAGTAAGTCTCGAAAAATCACGGTGGATGGTGGGGACGGGGAGGGGCGGCCGCGACAACATAGCTTTGAGCTGCACGAGGAGGCATTGACGGGCTACATCAAGTCCCCAGATGACTTGCAGCCGTGCCTCGACGTTTGCCGCCGCCACGCCTAGTTGATGCTCAGCCACCTCCAGACGAGGCTGGGGGATCTTGATAGCTTGAACGGTGTCAGGATTTTTATGTCAGACACGTACCCTCCAGACAAGGAGGGACGTGCTGAGGAGTGCCTCAACCACTTCGAGACTCTCGTCGACTTGTTCCATGCCCGCGAGCGAGCAGACATTCTCCCGGATAAGCAAACCTAGATTGCCTTACCCATTCTGTCCTTTGTCCAGAATCCGCCTTGTTCTGTCCCTGCTCTGTGTATATCCAGAAAATTCCTTGTTTTTTCCCTGCTCTGTGTATAACCAGAAAACTCCTTGTTATGTCCCTGCTCTGTGTATAACCAAGAGATTCCTTGTTCTGTCCCTGCTCTGTATATAACCAGAATCCGCCAGCTTCTGTCCCTGTTCTGTGTGTAATGTGTGGCAGGTGTGGACAAGCGTGCTTTCAAGAGGGAACTGAGGACATTCGTCCATGTCTTGGCTGGCAGTCCTCGAGGCGAGCGCACATTTCAACGCGGCCTGGCGGCCATGCTGCGAACGAAGGACTGGGAGCAAAGCTACCCCAACCTCGTCCGCCTCTGGACAGCGGGGAAGGGGAAAGTGTTGGAGGACGGACAAGAAGCAGATTCTGAACATGGCAGCAGTAGCAGCAACGACAGTGGGTTTGGTAGCAGCAGCGGTGATGATGATGATGAGGAGGAGGGCTAAGAGGAGGTGTAGGAGTTAATAGAGTAGTAAAACTCCAACTATATCTGCGGTGACTGGACTCTGGTGGTGGTGGTGTGGTTTCTGACTTGTGGTCTGGTGGTCTGGACTCTGGATTATTAGGACAATGTTGGTGCCACAAGTGCTAAGATCTGAACCCTGAACACTTGTTTTTTTGCTCTGACAGGTCGGTCTGGATTAATTTCTGTAGAAGCCTTGAAAATACAGGAAGGCTTTGAAAAATTGCCCTGACAAATCAGGGCTTTTTTTAAGATTCTAGAAAGGTGCCCTGAGGCCTCAGGGTGTCCCAAATCCTAGCACGGGCCTTGCGCGTGAGCACGTCATCTAATATAATACACCTACTCCATGGATGTTGTTGGAATAACAAAGGGTTATTAAACATCCCCGAAAATTCTCCCGTAGCGCATCTGTTGAAGTTAACAGGAATTAAATCTAGCATTCCTGTAGGTACAGCTGTATCGCACCCGCTACTACCGAAACAACAACAGTCAACTGTCGCGACTGTTGACCATCTGGTCCGAATGGCTACATGCGAGGAATGGCAACAGGCGTAGCTGTCTGTACAGTTACATGCAGCGACCCGATAACAAGAGAAGAGGAAAAGTCAGGGTTATTGTAGAAATGCCTGTAAAATAGGTGTAATAAGGGAATGTACCCCTTAGAGTACATGGCTAGCTAGATCTCTTTATTGTTTGTAATTTCTTGTTTTTATCAATATTGTCATCTACATTCACTATGCAAAAGGTTCCTACTACATCAAAGACTTCTGCTACCAATCTCTAAGGCATCCTATTCTATCCAATATCCTTATTCGAACATGGTAGGAGAGCAAGTTTGGATTATAGGTTCTGCCAAAACGATAGTTCAAAATGATCTTTATTATATATTACATTACCTTCAAGGGCAAGCATCATGCCAGGCGCAGACTGCGGCAAGACTGGAGAAAATACAGAACGCCCCTCCACCATTATCGCCTCTGGGACAACAACCGTGGACACAACACTTCTCGAGCAACTTATAACACGCATCAGCGCACTAGGGAGCCATCAGCCGATAAGTATTGACGGCTCCAGCAACGCCCGCAGGCCTCCCGATCCACAAGGAGCACACTCCGAGCGGTCGTTCACCTTGGAGAATTGCGGAGCACAAGCATCTGCACAAGCGCAACACGCACATTTCGAGGCGATGACGCCAATCCATAGCAAGTTCCTCTCCACGTCAAAACTCAGAACGACCAAGCTCTTCGACGAGAAGGACTTGATACCTGGAGCTTCGAATGCGAACTCCTGGCACAAAGCGCGCAGATCTGGATATACTATGACGGTTCACTGCCCTTCCCGCACAACGGCTCACCTCAAGAGAAGACTCAATACTACAACGAGTCATTACTCGCCTTCACCATCCTCATTCGGAACCTGACGCCCGAGGAGCAGCTAAGCCTCCGCTCCTCAAGAACAATTAGGCGCTCGCGCAACAATCTTGGGAACACCTGCGCACCTGCCAAATGGCAACGGACTGGGTGACACTTAGTCGCCTTCTCAACCAGCTGAACAATGTGAAGATGTTTCATGGGGAAAAAAACGGACCATATATTAACCGCTGCAGAAAACTTAGAGACCAATTCAAGAAAGCGGCGGCAACTTCCCTGACGACATGTTCGTCACCATCATCCTCGCTAGATTAAGTCCGGACTGGTGTCACTGCAAATGGCTTCTCCGCACACAAGGCACCCTCAGCGAAACATCGCTCTGCGCCTCGCTTCTCCCCGAACAGCAGGAAATCGACCTGTATAACGAGAGAGGAAACAAGATGGAGAAGATCGCATTCTACACAAGCGTAGAAGGACCACCTGACAATAAAATACTCTTCTGCAAGTACTGTAAGAAGACGGGACACACGATCAAAGAGTGCTGGAAGCTGAACGGCAACAACAACAGGAACAACAACGGGAACTTTAGGCAACAGGGAGGAGCGCCTAACCAGCAAGTGGCGCGCAACCAAACCATGTCGTCGACCGCCGTCGCCAGTACCTCTTAGGCTCCCGCACGCATCTCTGCAAACGACAAAGGGAAAAACAAGGTATTAACTTGCATGGTGCGCCGCGGACCTCCCCGACCCAACCGACACTATCGTTTCTTCTGCTCCTGGGAAGAGATGTGGCAAGACCCACCTCAAGAAAGATCCGAAGGCTCGGTCGAGGAAGAAGTGGAGAATGTCCCCACCTACGACGAACTGACAGTCGGTCACGTACAGTTCGACTGGGAGGGGGCGCAATGGATCCAAGAGTCGCCCCTTGCACGCATCGCATACGAAGTTGAAGGTTACGATTATGAAAATGATCATGACATGGACCATCATTTGACCCCGAAACTCGCAAACCTCGCTAAAGCCAAGAAGGAGGTTAACAAGTGGTACCTGGACAGTTGCTGCGGTCAACACATGGTGTCTTCAGGCATCTTCATCCTTAATAGCGAGGAGCTCTTCAACAAAGTCGAAATAACCATCGCCAACAACCAGACGATCTACGTAAGGAGTCGTTGGCAGATCCAGCTCGAGTCGAACGACACAAGATACTGCATCCACATCAGCGATGTCCTCGTTGTGCCGGAGCTCCAGTTCAATCTTCTGTCAGCTGACCAACTGATGAAGTTTGGCGTCGACCTGCAATCATTCGAAAACGAGTTTCAGTTAATGTACGACGGCAAACTTCTCGGGAAGGCGAAGAACGAGAACGAGGTGTTTGTACTCAACTTCGACTCACCTGGAAACCCCGGCGACAGAGAACGCATCATCGTCCTTGATCCACCCGGTCACCCGTCACCGCCAACATGGAGCCATCTAGAAGAGACGGACTACGAGCGGCCAGGCCACGACGGAACTTTCCGCGCACTCGCCGTACCCGTCGCGTCAACCACAAACCCTGCAGACACCGGACAACAGGCAGTGGAGGAAGAAGAAGAAATGAGTTTAGAAGCACAAGACACGGGAGCAGGAGAAGGAACTACCGGAGGATTTGCACGGCCCAGAGTTCAACAACCCACCAGCTGGAACCCGACCGAAGGCTGGGACGCAGTCAACACCGCTTGGGTCATCCACAACGCAGCACTGGGAGAAGCCATTGAAGCTGAAACAAGGTGGGGCAACATCGCCGAAGGACCTGCATAAGGCGAAGAAGAACCGGAAGTTACTGAGGAAGTGCCAGAAGCAGAAGAAGAAGAAGAAGAAGAAGAAGAAGAAGAAGAAGAAGAAGAAGAAGAAGAAGAAGAAGAAGAAGAAGAAGAAGAAGAAGAAGAAGAAGAAGAAGAAGAAGAAGAAGAAGAAGAAGAAGAAGAAGAAGAAGAAGAAGAAGAAGAAGAAGAACAAGAAGCGCTATTCGAATACGGCTCTCATCTCCTTCCTATCACCATCGACGGGCGAAGCTACCTCCGGATCGAGAAAAGGGGAGCAGCAACTGGCGACACCGACTTTGAGGAAGGAGAAGTAACCCAACCAGAAGACCGTCGCCCAAGAACCAATCCGACTCCTCCAGAAGGACCATTAGAGCTCCTTGTGACAATCGACACCAGCGTCATCGGCGACTCCAGCAGGATATACCACGCCGCACGATTCGAGACACTCCAAGCAGCAGCAGTTCAAGTACTTGTGCCGGAAGAAATTGCGGAAGAAGTGGGAAAAGAAACCGCAGAGAGAATCTTAGCACGAGAGAAGGCGATCTATACACGGACGCGAGGATATCGCGCCGACCCCGACATCTGGCACCAACGATTTGGGCACCCATCGATCGAAGTGCTCAACAACTGCATCAACGCAAAAAAGTGCTTGCGGAAGACGCACTGTTGCTGCCAGATGGAGAGCTGCTGAAACCAAGGGAGGACTTACCTAACTGCACCGTCTGCGCGGAAGCCGCACTGCGCCACACCCCTTTCGCGGAAAAGATACCTAGAGCCGAGCGATACGCACCACTTGAGAAAGTCTACAGCGACTTTCTGGTGCTCACAGCAAAGGGATTAGGAAGGGAGCATTATACCTTTACCTTCATCGACGCTGGCACGTGCTTCGTCTGGGCTGTAAACCTCGGCAACTGCTATCTCGCCTACCTGTGTTTCTACATGTGGCTCAAGATGGCCCAGACTTAAAACGAGGGAAAGAAACTAAAAGGCTTACCAGACCGACGGAGCACTGGAGTACCAGACAGAGGAGTTCAAAACCCTCTGTGCGTAAGAGGGAATCCAGAGGATGATCTCCCTCCCCTACGCTCACCAGCAACAGGGGCTGGCGGAGAC